GAGGATGTATCAAAATTTATTTAACCCATCTCATATTGAGGAACATTTAGGTGATTCCATTTCTTTACAATACAAATATTGTTGTGATGTTAACCTTGTAGAAATGTGAATTCACATATGAGTGAATATATGTGAGAGAGAAGTTTGTAGAAGTGAATTTCTTGGTCACAAAGACGTATACTTTTTTTTTTTGAGAGTGCCTGTGCAAGCTAGGGAGGGGCAGAGGGAGAGGAAGAGAGAGAATTTTAAACAGGCTCCACACTCAGTGCAGAGCCCAACACAGTGCTCGATCTCATGATCTGAGCTGAAATCAAGTCAGGCGCTCAACTGACTGAGCCATCCAGGCACCCCAAGGACATGTGTACTTTTTTCAAACTTTTTTTTTTTTTTTTTTTACATTTATTTATTTTGGAGAGACAGAGAGAGACAGAGCACAAGTGGGGGAGGGGCAGAGAGAGAGGGAGACACAGAATCTGAAGCAGGCTCCAGGCTCTGAGCCTTCAGCACAGAGCCTGACGCGGGGCTTGAACCCACAAATCATGAGGTCATGACCTGAGCAGAAGTCAGATGCTTAACCGACTAAGCCACCCAGGTACCCTAGGACATGTGTACTTTTTTTTTTTATTATTATTATTTTTTAACGTTGATTTATTTTTGAGACAGAGAGAGACAGAGCATCAACAGGGGAGGGTCAGAGAGAGGGAGACACAGATTCTGAAACAGGCTCCAGCCTCTGAGCTGTCAGCACTGATCCTGACGTGGGGCTCGAACTCACAAACCCTGAGATCATGACCTGAGCTGAAGTCGGCCGCTTAACCAACTGAGCCACCCAGGCGCCCCAGGACATGTGTACTTTTTTTTTTTTTTTCAATATATGAAATTTATTGTCAAATTGGTTTCCAACGTTTATTTATTTTTGGGACAGAGAGAGACAGAGCATGAACGGGGGAGGGGCAGAGAGAGAGGGAGACACAGAATCGGAAACAGGCTCCAGGCTCTGAGCCATCAGCCCAGAGCCTGACGCGGGGCTCGAACTCACGGACCGCGAGATCGTGACCTGGTTGAAGTCGGACGCTTAACCGACTGCGCCACCCAGGCGCCCCGTCCAATTGGTTTCCATACAACACCCAGTGCTCATCCCAAAAGGTGCCCTCCTCAATACCCTTCACCCACCCTCCCCTCCCTCCCACCCCCCATCAACCCTCAGTTTGTTCTCAGTTTTTAACAGTCTCTTATGCTTTGGCTCTCTCCCACTCTAACCTCTTTTTTTTTTTTTTTTCCCTTCCCTTCCCCCATGGGCTTCTGTTAAGTTTCTCAAGATCCACATAAGAGTGAAACCATATGGTATCTGTCTTTCTCTGTATGGCTTATTTCACTTAGCATCACACTCTCCAGTTCCATCCACGTTGCTACAAAAGGCCATATTTCATTCTTTCTCATTGCACGTAGTATTCCATTGTGTATATAAACCACAATTTCTTTATCCATTCATCAATTGATGGACATTTAGGCTCTTTCCACAATTTGGCTATTGTTGAGAGTGCTGCTATAAACATTGGGGTACAAGTGCCCCTATGCATCAGTACTCCTGTATCCCTTGGGTAAATTCCTAGCAGTGCTATTGCTGGGTCATAGGGTAGGTCTATTTTTAATTTTCTGAGGAACCTCCACACTGCTTTCCAGAGCGGCTACACCAATTTGCATTCCCACCAACAGTGCAAGAGGGTTCACATTTCTCCACATCCTCTCCAGCATCTATAGTCTCCTGATTTGTTCATTTTGGCCACTCTGACTGGCGTGAGGTGATATCTGAGTGTGGTTTTGGTTTGTATTTCCCTGATAAAGAGCGACGTTGAACATCTTTTCATGTGCCTGTTGGCCATCCGGATGTCTTCTTTAGAGAAGAGGACATGTGTACTTTTAATGGACGGTGCCAAATTGCCTGCCTAGAGCTGGACCCATCTGTACCCCCACAGCCTCACTACAAGATGTATTATCCTGCTTTTTGTTTTTTTTTTCCAGTCTAAAAGGTGAAAAATGGTCTCTCGGGTATTCTATTTTACATTTCTCTTATTATGAGTGAAGTTGAGCTTCTCCTCATATATTTAAGGGCCATTTTATTTTCTTTTCCTATAAATTGCCTGTTCATATTTTTGCCTATTTTTTTTTAATTTTTGAGAGAGAGAGAGAGAGAGAGAGAGAGAGGTGAGGGAGGGGCAGAGAGAGAGAAGGAGACACAGAATCTGAAGTAGGCTCCAGGCTGAGAGCTGTCAGCACACAGCCCAATGAGGGGCTCAAACTCATGAACCATGATATGACCTGAGCCAAAGTCAGATACTTAACCGACTGAGCCACCCAGGCGCCCCTATTTTTCTATTGTATATTGGTCTTTATTCTTATTAATTTGTGGGAAGTCTTGATATACTGGGGAGATTGGCTCTTTATGATATGAATTGAAAATATTTTTCCCTGTTTGTCATTTGTCTTTATCTATTTTTTTGTAGTTATTCTGTTGATTTTTATGAAATCAAGTGTATTAGTCTTTTCTTACTTGGCTTCTGGATTTTGTGTCATAATTAAGTCCTCTCCTTATTGAATTCATTCTCTTTACACTTATAGTTAAGCTGACATCTGTACTGACTTGTTAGATTGCAGATTCAGACGTAGCATGTCTAGGGTGGAGCCTGAGATTCCACATTTCTAATAAGGCTCAGATGATGCCCATGCTGCTCGTCCGAGATCACACTTTGAGTAGCAGGCCACAGAGCTCATCTGCAGGAAACAGCCTCCGGCTCCTCTCCCTCCAGGCCTCTCTCTGTCCCTGAGCTTCTTCCTGAGGTCTACTCCTTCCCCTATCTGTTCTTCCCACTCACTTCTCGATTTTAGCCCCAGTCTTTGCCCCCAGTCTGGCTATTTTCTAAGACTTCCCAGCTCCAATGTCCAGTATATCACCTGACTACTTACTTTGTGTCTCTCCAGAGGGAAAGCCTAGATGACTCTTCTTGGGTTAAATGTATATTCCTGGCCTAATTAGTGGTGGTTTGGAGCAGGTTCCCCTGCCCACTCCAGCTGCCTGGTCCAATTCCCTCAGCAGAAGAGAGGATGGGAGCTAAATTTAGCCATTTAGCTTTGTGCTGTGATCATCAAGCTTTATTAACCCTGGCCCCTGGAGGGATGCCCAGATCAGTGGACAGAGCCCTGCCTCTCTGAAAAAGTTTGCTGGAACACAACCACTTTGGCTGGGGAAGGAGACCCTGGCCAAGCTGTCCCCCTTGACCCCACTACCTGACTCCAAAGAGCTCACTCGGTGAAGATCTCTCTGTGGGGAGGCAGGGCTCTCCCAGAGCATTTGGGAGAGAATTGAGTAGGGGCAAGTAGGCCTAGATAGCCCAGCCTCAAAGATCATTTGACTGTGACCACCATGTAGGGATTTCCTGCTTTGGCCATAAAGAGGCCTGCCCCTGCTGGGCTCAGTGGAGGGGGCACGTGGTATGAGGCAGGGGTCCAACTTTATTCTCTTGCAGGTGGATATCCAGTTTTCCCAGTGCCAATTGTTGAAAAAAATTCATTCTTTTTTGAATTATCTTATTACCCTTGTTGAAATTCAATTGACCAGAAATGTGAGGTTTTAATTTTTGGACTCTCAGGTCTATCCCATTGATCTGTATGTCATTATGCCAGTACTATACTGTGTTGGTTGCTGTAGATTTGTAGTTAGTTTTGAAATTACAAAGTAGAAATTCTCCATCTTTGTTCTTTTTTAAGACTGTTTTGACTATTCTGGGTTCCTTGTATTTCCAAACAAATTTTCAGACCAGCTTGTCAGTTTATGCAAAGAAGCCAGCTGGGATAGGGGTTGTGTTGAATCTATCAGTTGCTTTGGGGAATATTGACATCTTAATATTGTCTTCAAATCTATGAACATAGGCTATCTTTCTATTTATTTAGGTCTTTAATTTCTTCCAGTATAATTGTACTTTTCAGAGTATAAGTTTTGTACTTTTTTAAAAAAAGTTTATTCCTAAGTATTTTATTCTTTTAAAAAAATTTTTTTTTACATTTATTTATTTTTTGAGAGACATAGAGAGACAGAGCACAAGTTGGGGAGGGGCAGAGAGAGAAGGAGACACAGAATCCGAAGCAGGCTCCAGGCTCCAAGCTGTCAGCACAGAGCCCAATGCGGGGCTCGAACTCACAAACCGTGAGATCATGACCTGAGCCGAAGTCAGATGCTTAACTGACTGAGCTACCCAGGTGCCCCTAAGTATTTTATTCTTTTTGATGCTATTATGAATGGAATTTTGTTTATTAAAATATTTATTTATTTTTGAGAGAGAGTGAGAGACCGGGGGAGGGACAGAGAGAGGGAGACAGAGAATCCCTTGTCTGCACTGTCAGTGCAGAGCCTGAATCAGGACTTGAACTCACAAACTGTGAGATCATGACCTGAGCTGAAACCAAGAGTTGGACACTTAACCAACTGAGCCACCAGGCACCCCTATTATGAATTGAATTGTATTTTAAATTTCACTTTTGGATTGTTCATTGCATGTGTATAGAAATACAATTGATTTTTTTTCTAAAAAAAAAAATTTTTTTTAATGTTTTTTTGAGAGAGAGAGAGAAAGCGTGATCAGGGGAGGGGCAGAGAGAGAGGGAGACACAGAATCCGAGGCAGGCTCCAGGCTCCCAGCTGTCAGCACAGATCAGCACAGAGCCCAACACAGGGCTCAAACTCACAAACCGTGAGATCATTACCTCAGCCGAAGTCAGACACTTAAGCCGAAGTTGGACACTTAACTGACTTGGCCACCCAGGTGCCCCCAATTTTTGTATAATGATGTGGTATTCTACCACCTTGCTAAACTAATTTATTAATTTTAATAGTTCTTTAGTGGATTCCTTAGGATTATCTCTATATAGGAGATCATGTCATATACAAATACAAATAGTTGTACTTCTTTCTTTCCAATCCAATGCCTTTTATATCTTTTTCTCACCTGCTTTGCCTGGCTGGAACCTCTAGTATGATGTTGAAATAAGAGATGAAAGTCGCCATCTTTGTCTTGTTCCTGACCTTAGGGGGAAGGTGTTCATTCCTTCACCATTAACTATAATGTTGGCTATGGGGTTTTCCTAGAAAATAAAAAAGAAGAGCCTTATAGCAGAACTTCTCACTCCGCGCAGTACACATGAATCACCAGACTGTTAGAATAGAGTCTGATGCAGCAGCCCTGGGGTGGAGCCTGAGATTCTGCATTTCTGATAAGCTCCCAGATGATGCTGATGTGGCTGGTCCAGGGAACACACTCTGAGTAGCACACTTTGAAGTTTATTCTTAGAACCTTTCTTCTATCAGGGTGAAAAAGCTCTCTTCTGTACCTAGTTCACTGAGTATTTTTATCACGAAAGGATATTGGAGCCTTATCCTTTTTTTAAAGGGCATGAAATAAGAGTTTATTAAAAATGACCAAGCAGATTTGAAGAAAAACCAAGTACAGTTTTTAGATATGGCTGACTAGACACAGCTGAAGAGGGCATTAATAAACTGAAATAGGAATGTAACAAAATTACCCAAATTACAGCATAGAGAGGTGAGAGGCTAGAAGAAATGACAGACTTTAGGAGATACACAGGACATAATGAGAAAGTCTAACATACATCTAATCATAACCCTAAAAGAGAGAATAAAAATAAAAAGAAACAAAGGGGGTCATCTGGGTGGCTTATTCACTTGAGTGTCTGACTCTTGATTTTGGCTCAGGTCACAATCTTGTGGTATGTGGGGTTGAACACCACATAAGATTTCCTATTGATGGCTCAAGGCCTGCTTGAGATTCTCTCTCTCTCTCTCTCTCTCTCTCTCTCTCTCTGCCCCTCCCCTGCTGACACTCTCTCTCTTTCTCTCTCAAATAAATAAATAAATAAATAAATAAATAACCATTAAAAAAAAACCTTTGAGATATAATTTAAATACCATACAATTCGCCCATTTATAGTATACAACCAGTGGTTTTTTCATATATCCACAGTTAATGCAACCATAACCACAGTGAATTTTAGAACATGTCATTCTCTTGGTTTTTTACTCCTAAATATTTCAGTGCTTACTTTTTAAGAACAAGTACCTTCTCAGGGTGCCTGGGTGGCTCAGGCAGTTAAGTGTCCGACTTCACTCAGGTCATGATCTCACGGTCTGTGAGTTCGAGCCCTTCGTTGGGCTCTGTGCTGACAGCTCAGAGCCTGAAACCTGCTTCAGATTCTGTGTCTCCCTTGCTCTCTGCCCCTCCCCCACTCACGCTCTGTCTCTCTCTCTCTGAAAAATAAACACTTAAAAAAAAAAAAAAGAGCAAGTACATTCTCCTACATAATCATGATATAGTAATTGAAATCAGGAAAATTAACAATGATGCAACAATATTATTTTACCCAAGGTCCATATGTAACTTTCGACAGTTGACCTAATGGTGTCCTTTATAGTTGTTTTCCTCTCACACCCTGGCCAGGATCAAGTCTAGGATTACACATCACATTTAGGTGCCATGTATCCTTTAATCTAGAACAATTCCTGGGTCTTTCCTTGTGTTTCGTGATTTTGATTTTTAAAAACATTTTTTTTTATGTTTTTATTTTATTTTTGAGAGAGAGAGACACAGTGAGAGCAGGGGAGGGGCAAAGAGAGATAGAGACAGAATCTGAAGCAGACTCCAGGCTCTGAGCTGTCAGCGCAGAGCCTGACATGGGGCTTGAACTCACAGACTGCAAGATCATGACCTGAGCCAAAGTCAGACGCCCAACCAACTGAGCCACCCAGGCGCCCCATGATTTTGATATTTTTGAAGAGTACAGGCCAGTTATTTGGTTGAATGTCCCTCAGTTTAGGTTTGTCTGATGTTTTCTTGTGATTTAAGTTCAAGTTCTGCATTCTGGGCAGAAATACCACAGGAATGATGTCATGTTCTTCATGTACATCATATTAGGACATGTCTTATTCAGCCTGGGATGCTATAACAAAATGCCATACACGAGTGTCTTAAACAACAGACATTTCTTTCTTATGGTTCTGGAGGCTGGGAAGACCAAGATCAAGGTGCTGGCAGATTTGCTTCTTGGTGAGGGCCTTCTTCCTGGTTTGTAAGCAGCCATCTTTTTGCTGTGTGCTCACATGGCCTTTTCCTAGACATATATTTGTGTAGAGAGAGTCTTCTCACTCTTCCTCTTTTTATAAGGACACTAAACCATCATGAGAGCTCTACCCTCATGATTTCATCTAAACCTAATTACCTCCCAAAATTTCCCACCTCTAAATACCATTATAGTGGCGATAAACAAATGTGTTTTGAGGTGGTATAAACATTCAGTCTGTAACAAGAGGCACAAGATGTTGCTTTGTCCCCTTATTGGTGAGGTTAATTTTGATCAATTGGTTAAAGTCATCATATATATTGAATAAGAGGACCAAAAGGTCTTTGGCTTTGAGAAAAGAGCTTCCAAAATTTTATTCCTTATTGTAAATTGTTGTGAACTTGTTTTGACTGGCATAAATTATTTCAAGATCACAGAAAAGATGGACCAAAGTGATTTGCATGGCTACCACCATGAATTTCTCTCTTGACATTACAGGCAAACCTTCCTTTTTCTTTTTTTTTTTAATGCTTATTTATTTATTTTTTGAGAGAGAGGTAAGTGCGTGTGCACAGGGGAGGGACAGGGAGAGAGAGAGAGAGAGAGAGAGAGAGAGAGAGAGAGAGATTCCCAAGTAGGCTCTGTGCTGTCAATGCAGAGCTCAATGTAGGGATCGAATTCACAAACCATGAGATCATGATCTGAGCCAAAACCAAGAGTTGGAAGCATAACAGATTGAGCCACCCAGGTGCCCCATAACCTTGTGTTGTCTTTACTTCCAAAGTCTCAGATAAACATTTAAATTCTAAATCATTCAACAGGGGAATCCTGCATTTCTATAGGTCAGTATTATATTCTCCCACCATCCCTCAATCTCTAGGAGAACTCTGCATTGGACAATTTTTATGTTTAAGATGTGCCCACATGGGGCGCCTGGATGACTCAGTCAGTTAAACACCTGGCTCTTGATCTCAGCTCAGGTCTTTATCTCAGGGTCATGAGTTTAAGCCCAGTGTGGAACCTATGAGAGGAGAGGAGGCAAGGGGAGGGGAGGGGAAGGGAGGGGAGGGGGGAGGGGGGGAAGAGAAGAGAGAAAGGAAAGAAGGAAGGAAAGAAAGGAAAGAAGGAAGGAAAGAAAGAAGAAGGAAGGAAAGAAAAAGACATGCCAACACAGAAACTTGATATGTAAATGTTATACTTGAGCCATTCCATCTTAATATTTATTTAAACTTTTCATATATATTTTTATACGTAAAGTACACAGGATCAGATTTTTCAAGGTCAAAATGTTTTCCATTTTGCTAAATTTCTCTTATGGTGGCTTTTATCTGTGTGTGTGTGTGTGTGTGTGTGTGTGTGTGTGTGTGTGAGATAAGTTCATGTTTGATTGAACTGAAGGTGTAGGGGTCATGAGTGCATAAGTGCATTCTTTCCCCCTGATGGCATTTGCACTTGATTTTGCAGTTAGCCACAGGGCATTGCCAACCCAGGGCCGTTTTAACTCCCCTTCAAAAATTCCAACTTGATAAGGGATTAATATCCTGAATATATAGAGAACTTCTTTTTTTTTAATTTTTTAATGTTTATTTTTGAAAGACAGAGATAGAGTGCAAATGGGAGAGGGGCAGAGAGAGAGGGAGACAGAATCTGAAGCAGACTCCAGGCTCTATGCTGACACAGGCTCAAACCCATAAACTCTAAGATCCAACCCGAGCCGAAGTTGGATGCTTAGCCAGCTGAGCCACCCAGGCCCCCCTCTAGAGAACTTTAAAACTAAAAAATGGGCAAAGAGTAGACATTTCTCAAAAGACAATATACAGATGGACGGTAAGTGTATGAAAAGATGCTCAACGTCACAAATCATCAGGAAAAGGCAAATTAAAACTACAAGATACCTCCTTATACCCATTAGGATGGCAATGATCCAGAAAAAACAAAACAAACAAAACAAAACAACAACAACAACAAAATAACAAGTATTGGTGAGGATGTGGAATAATTGGAACTGTTGTGTGTGTGCTATTGGCGGGAATCTAAAATAGTCCAGCCACTAAGTGAAATAAGCCAGTCACAAAAAGGCAAATTAGCTATACGATTCCATTCACATGAGGTGCTTGGAGTAGCCAGAATCATAGAGACAGTAAATAGAATGGTGGTTGGTAGGGTCTCGGGGGTAGGGGAATGAGGAGTGAGTGTTTAATTGGTATGGAATTTCAGTTTTGCCAGATGAAAAGACATATGGAGATGGGTGATAGTGGTGGTTGCACATTATCAGTACATCAACAAACTGTACACTTAAAAATGGTTAAGATGGGGGGGCCCAGTTCGTTGGGCATCTGACTCTTGGTTCTGGCTCAGGTCATGATCCCAGGTCAGGGGATCGAGCCCCACATCAGGCTCCACACTGAGCATGGAGCCTACCTAAGATTCTCTCTCCTTCTCCCTCTCCCCCTCTCCCACTTGTGCACGCACCCTCTCTCTAAAATAATAATTTAAAAAATTTAATGGTTAAAATGGGAAATTTTTATGTAAGGTAGGTATTTTGCCACAATAAAAACATTGGGGGTAGAAAAGAATTCTGGCTGAATACGGGAGCTTCAGTTTCCGTTCCCACATTGTGGAGGATCGAGGATTCATACCTACATTTCAAGTTGGTTTTAGGACTTGCTTGCTTACTGCCCACTGTTTCTGTTTCAGTGTACCTTTCCCACCTGCTTTCTGAGGGCCTAGAACTGCATTAAAAGGGAAGAATTTGTGAACATCAATCTGGTTTGCAGAGGGAGGGCCCTTTGGAATACATGTATGCCCACCCCTGTGGAGACAGAACCCTCTTCTTTTCTTTTTGAACCTAATTCTTGCCAGAAACTTTCAAGTGGGCCTTTGAAGCATACACATCTCCTTTTAAACATGCCTGCCACACCATTTTAAAACAGTTTTACACACTTTCTTTAGGATGAAAATATGAAAGGGGATGAATGGAACATTATTTCTCAACAGAATTGGGGCTGGTC